GTTTGTATTGTGCTGGCAGATACCATCTTGTTTGGCTGCATAGCACGGTCTTTGTGGAATGATCCTTAAATGAATGAATTATCTAGTGGTACTTAGAGTAGTTTATGCTTATATTGTTGTTACATGTTTGTGTCCCCCATTAAATGATAAGGTCTTCTTGTGGCCCTTCCTCTGGCCACAGCTCCTACACAGTGCGCTTTTGTAATAACTGTTGGTTCAATGGTGAACCCTTCTCTGTACCTTAGCCATCTTCTTGTCTGGGAAACTGTACCTGTTACCAGTTCTAATAATCTTAACTTTATGGAGCCTTCACATTATCACTGAATGTCACACAGCTTTGCAGTTGTGTCTGAACACCTGTGCCAGAAGTTACAGATCCTTTTACTCCTTTACCGTGTGCTATGTGTGTGGTGCTGGTGGCTATATTAATTTGAATTGTTAGGGGTTTTTAGTACTATGATACCTTTCAAGAGTTTCCTTTGATAGCTTTAACACAAACATGTATATAAAAGAAAAAGACTGGTGAGGGAAAGTGGAAGTTGGTGTGTGGCTCATGACATGCATAGACATTTAATCATTATGTACAGACCTACAGATTGACTTAAAAGCATCCTAGACTGGTGATTAGCCAAGAAATGAGGAAGCCATGATATTTTTCTATCTGTTGGTGAGAACAGTTGATAAGCTGCAAGGGTTTCCTGACCTTAAAAAAATTGTGATTTAACTAGGAGAAAGGGCATAGGCTGTAGGGTGAAACACCTGATTTTTCTACCGCAGCTCTGCACTTACCATGTGACCTTAGAGGAAGTTTTATTGTAGCTTAACTGTACACACAGAAACCTGGCTAACCTTCTGAATTATTTGGAAGGCTAAGAGACATGTATATGAAATAACTTTGCAGAGGGGACAGCCTTACTAACTGTACCTGCAAGTGTAGGGACCCTTTTTAATTTTAATATTTGAGATTGTTACTAAGTTGTCCAGACCATATTCAAACTCATAGTCTTCCTGTGTCTGTCTCCCTAGTGCTAGGATTACGGATATATACCACAACACCTGGATGATGCTTCTTTTTAAAAAACATTTTATTACTGTCTGTTCATGTGCATGAAGTATATTTGTGTGTGTGAATGTGTATATGACTTACTGTGTAACTGTGTGTCTGAGCGTTCCAGCATGTGTTGTGAATGCCATAGGTGTTCATGTGAATGTCAGAGGACAACTTTGGAGGCATTTCTGCCTACATTTTGTGGCTCCTAGGGATTGACCTTGAATTGCTGAGCTTACATGGCAATCTGGTTTACCAGAGGAACCATCTTGCAAACCTTGATTTTTTTATTTATAATTTTTTTAAATTGCTTTAAAAGCTTTGGGGTAGGTTTTCACTTCATAACCCAGGTTAGCCTTGAATTTACTATATGTAGCCCAGGCTGGCTCAAACTCTGTGTCCTCCTGTTGCATCCTCCCAAGTGCTAGGATTATAAGTGTGTGCCACCATGACAAGCCTTCAGGAGCCTACATTTTATAAAGCAAAATCAGAACAGATGGTGTGAGAAAAATTAGCTTTCTTTCCTCATGATTTGTGCATGTGTTTATTCGTAAAGCTGTTTACATGTATGTACATTTATTTTTAGAGGCCTAATGTTCGGTTGCTTTTAGTCCATAGGTGGGATGAATCATTCTTTGATGGAAATGATAACATTTTACACTGTCCACAATGGTTTGGAAAATATGGGAGAGGGGTACCATGATGTATATAGTGGGAACTATCAGTTGGTCTGATCAGACTTTTGCTGCAGCTACAGAGACAATCACTACTTCCACCCCAGCCCTGTGTTGGGTATCCCAGTAGAAAGAGACTGGTGGTTAGTGTATGTGAGCATTGAATATTCTGAATAGTGTTTCATTGGTTTATGTGGTTCTTTGAAATGAAGATTTTTGATTCTTGGCAAAGCACCAGGTGATTTTGACCATTAACTGAATAAGCAAGCTTTCCTTCCAGGTTGAATTGTTAATTGAATTAGTTGACAATGGGGGAAAACCTGTTGGTCAAGAATGAGCTTGTTACCTTCTGTTAAGTTTCTGCTTAATCACAATTGCTTAACAGGAAGTTTGTCTTTGCAGGCAAATAAGAGACAGAGTAGGAGGACCTGACAATCCAGTTCGTGTCTCTAACCTTGGCCTTACTGTTTTTACAAATGTTAAAGTTTTATGCAGAGTTCTGTGACGTCAGCTGGAAGGTTGTTGAGGAAATTCCCTCTCATGGTTAGGCAACATAAAGGCCTTCTTCACAGGCCAGAGTGCAGTGAGGTAGAATTTGGGAATTTAACGAGAAAAATGGAGGGAAGAAAAAGAAAAAAAAAGTGCTAGCTTGTGAGTGGAGAAGTGTGCAAATACTATGGATGTGGGGGAGGTCTCTCTACTGAAGGAAGAGCCCAACTGAGGGCTCGACATAGCACCTGTGGACTTTTTAAGGAGCTAAGCTGAGAGCCTTTAGCCGCTTTAAAGAACTGACGATAAAGTTATACGTTGGTTGCCTGAGAAGAGACTGGGAGAAGTCAGTCCTCACTCTCTTAGCCTTCACTGTTAATCTTCCGCAAAGCTTGCTGCCCGTTAGGCATTCAAGAGGTTCTTCTTTGAAGGGAAGGGTGAAAAATTAACTCACCGGTACAAGGAAAGGCCAGAGGATTGAATACCGTGAGAAATGAGTTGGCTGGAAAAGTGCTTGTTTGCTGTGTCCTGTCCTGCAGTGTGGATGGAGATTGCACTTTGAAAAAGCAAGAATATATTGTTTTAGCAACTAGCTACCAGCATACTTCACTGGATACTTTTGTCACACTGGGATTTCCAGTTTAATTAATTAAGACAAGGTTTCATGTATCGTAGGCTGGCCTTGAATTTGCTGTGTAGCCACAGATGCCCTTGAACTTCTGATCCCTCTGCTTCTACATCTGGAGTACAGGGCTTACAAGGATGTGCACCAGATTAATGAAGTGACAAAGACAGATACTAGGACAGCAGCTCAACCTGTGGGTCAAGAGCCCTTTGGCGGTTGAATGACCCTTTCACGGGAGTTGCCTAACCCATCAGAAAACACAGATATTTACATCACAGTTCATAGCAGTAGCAAAATTGCAGTTATGAAGTAGCAATGAAAATAATTTTATGGTTGGGGACCACTACCCTAGGACTTTGAATGCTAGGCAAGCCCTTTGCCAACTGAGTCATACATTCTTAACCTTCAATTCATTCTTGACTCAGTAACATCAACTAGTGAGGAACACCGTGAACTTTTTTTTTTTTTTTTTTTTTTTTTTTGACGAGGTGCTTCACTTCACTGTGCTTTCTTTAAGTTGTGAGGACGGCAGAGTTTGCATCTGATCACTGTGGTGCAGTCCCTCAAATAGGCATTTAGTTCCTTCAGTGCCCAGAGTGCTAATGTCAGCACAATTGTCTTCATCGCTTATGGACTGTTGCTGCATCTTAGAAATTAGAGTTCAGAAGGGTTAGAAATTCTTTATCAGGAACTTGTTTGCTGCTAAGAGGGGAATAAGGCACCTTTAGGATATGTTTTGCTGTGACATTAATGCTTGGGACCTTGCAATTGCATGGGTCTTTTTGGTAATGGGTCTTTGAATATGGAATAATCTGGAATTTCCTTATATACCCTGGGGCCTTGTGAAAGTATTTGTGTCTTCTGTCCCCAAAATAATGGGTTTTCTGACCCTTGTCTTCAGTGGCGGTTGTTCTTTATGAAAATGGCATGGCTTCACCTCCCACAGAAGGGACTTGGGAGACTTACTGAGAATTAAATATGCCCATCAGCTGCCCACAGATATTTAATGCTGTAGGAACCCATTGATGGTGGTGTGACAAGTAAGTTGAATCTTCATTTTTTAAATTTTTTTTTTTATTTTTTATTGTTTTTTTGAGACAGGGTTTCTCTGTGGCTTTGGAGGCTGTCCTGGAACTAGCTCTTGTAGACCAGGCTGGTCTTGAACTCACAGAGATCCTCTGCCTCTGCCTCCTGAGTGCTGGGATTAAAGGCATGCACCACTAAAGCCCGTAAGTTGAATCTTCATGTTCTCTCTATTTGTCCATCCTGTTTAGTGTCTTTTCTCTTTTTGTTATAGTTTGTTAGGATTTGCAGTCTAGTGAGAAAACTCAATATGGTAGAAAAAGAATGTTTTTTTTTTTTTTTTCCGAAAAAGGGTTTTTCTGTGGCTTTGGAGGCTGTCCTGGAACTAGCTCTTGTAGACCAGGCTGGTCTCGAACTCACAGAGATCTGCCTACCTCTGCCTCCCGAATGCTGGGATTAAAGGCGTATGCCACCACCCGCCCGGCTAGAAAAAGAATGTTAATAGAATTTGAATTCGCTGTAATGTTTATGAGTGTCATCTTGTAAATTATTGATTAGTGCTCTTTATTGTTTTTTTTTTTTTTGGTTTACCTGATAATTAGCTGTTGTGGGTATTGACCTCTAGTGAACTTGTCATGGTTAAGAATGTTCTGTATTCTGGTTAGACATCAAGGATTTGAGTAATATATGTAGGTTTGATGTCTTTTCAGTAGCAAACCAGATGATTTCTTTGGTAGGTATGTCAGTAAATATTGGGAGATATTTCAGCCCTCACTTATTTTCATTTTGGCTGGCAAACTGCTTTTGTAATGGTGGAAGAGCTGTCATAGACAACTGACAGTACATTCATTGTGTTGAATGATCAGGGGCAGTTTATGTGAATGGTTAAGTGAGGTTTTAGTTGCTCTCATTTGTAGATTGTATGCTATTTATCATGAGTAAATATTAATATTAGCTGTATTTCATTTGTCATGTAGAATCCTCTCAATGCCAGGTTGAGCGGTATGCCCCAGGCCCTTCATGTCCAAGGTCTGTGCCTCAGATCCACCATTCCATCGGCCTTTCTTTCCATTCTTGGTGGCGTTAGTTGCCGCTGGTGCCATGGTGGGTGTATGGATTGCTCTCTGTCTTTCAACAGTTACCGAAGTGCATGTTTGGGATTTTGTTGAAGAAAGCTGGATACAGTAAACGGAGAGTCTTGGAAGATGCTTGACCGCTGTCTTTTCTCAGACTAGTCTGAAAGGGGATGCCCCATTCAGTCAGTGGTGGATCTGAAGTGCAGAGTACTTCCAGGTAAGCCTTGACTCACCCTGTGTTGTGTTGTTTTGTGGGACTACTGAAAGAAACTTAAAAAATAAAAGTCTTTTCAGAGTTGGGTATTGTGGCTCACACCTGTAATCCCAGTGCTTGGGAGGCTTAAGGCAGGAGGATGGCTGCAGGTTGGAGGCCATCTTGAGCTACAGTGAGGCTGTATTGCAAACACAATAAACAACCCTTTTCTTTTTCCTTTGCTAGGGAATGGATGATAAAATGGATATTTGTGCTTAGTGTTGTGTGTATGTGGGTCAGTGAAGGGGCTGTGGCAGAATTGCCAGTAAAAACTGCATAAATGGCCGGATGGTGTTGACACATGCCTTTAATCCCAACACCCAGGAGACAGAGGCCATCACATCTCTGAATTCAAGGCCAGCCTGTCTACAGAGTGAGTTCCAGGACAGCCAGGACTATACAGAGAAACCCTGTCAAAAAACAAAACAAACAACAACAACAACAAAAACAAACAAACAAAAAAAAACTGTGTAAATGTAAGCAGTACAGCTATAGCTTAAATATCTAGCCAGAATCTCAACAGAGAGTAACAGGGATTTGAGGGGTTTTGGGGAGATAATTTATAAAACAAGTGGCCATTTGAGACATTTTCTTGTAATCTTTATTGCCAGTCCACATTTTTTGTAGATCCCATGTAAAGCAGCAGTTTGTCTTGAGGACTTGCAGAGGGTCTTCCCAGGAAGATGTGCTCCATAGCAGCTGTTGGAGCATTGCTAACGTCTTCAGCACTGTCAGTAGGCACTGGGCATGCTTTTTAATTGCATAGACTTCACTTGGATTTTAGATAGTGGAATGAAGCTCAGAAGTACTGAGGAAGTACAGGTTACCCCAGCCACACAACTAATAAATGGCAGAGCTAGATTCAGGCCTGGGCCTTTATGTCCAGAGAAGCTTGAATTTAAGCCTTTGGATTTTCACTTTTTTATCTACACACTTGCATTTATGTGTGTGTGTGTGTGTGTGTGTGTGTGTGTGTGTGTGTGTGTGTGTGTGTGTTCGTGTGTTCGTGTGTTCGTTATGTATGTTTCATGGGTGAGGGTTTTGTGGAGGCCAGGTTGATGGCGAGTGTCTTTCTCAATAGCTCTTCTACTTTATTTTTGAGACAGGGTCTCCTGATAAACTACAGCTCACTGGTTCTGCTACACTGGGCAGGAGACAAACATTCAGATAATATGTGTGCCACCTCAGGCTTTGGGGGGATTTTTATTTACTTTTGATGTGTTTTTTCCTTCCTTCCTTCCTTCCTTCCTTCCTTCCTTCCTTCCTTCCTTCCTTCCTTCCTTCCTTCCTTCCTTCCTTCCTTCCTTCCTTCCTTCCTTCCTTCTTTCTTTCTTTCTTTCTTTCTTTCTTTCTTTCTTTCTGAGAGGGTTTCTCTGTAGCTTTGGAGGCTGTCCTGGAACTAGCTCTTGTAGACCAGGCTGGGCTCGAACTCATGGAGATACGCCTGCCTCCGCCTCCAGAGTGCTGGGACTAAAGGCATGTGCCACCACTGCCCGGCTTCAATTTTTTTAAAAATAATTTATATTCATTTTATGTATATTAGTGTATTGCCTGCATGTATATATGTGTAAGGGAACTGAAGTTACACAGTTGTGAGCTGCCATGTGGATGCTGTGAATTGAACCTGAGTCCTCTGGAAGAGCAGCCAGTGCTCTTAACCACTGAGCCATCTCTGCAGCCCTTGGATGTTGTTTTAATTTATATGAATCAACTGGGGTCCTCATGATTGTGTAGCAGGCACTTCATTGACTTGGCTCTAAGTGGATCTTCACTTGAAGAATATATGCTAGCTCATTGTTTGGCTTGGTATTATCCTAGTCAGGGTTACTGTTTCTATAATGAAACATCAAGATCAAAAGTTGGAGAGGAAAGGGTTTACTTGAGTTCATCATTGAAGGAAGTTCATCATTGAAGGAAGTCAGCACAGGAACAGAGCAGGAACCTGGAGGCGGGAGCTGATGCAGAGGCCATGGAGGAGTGCTGCTTCCTGGCTTGTTTCTCATGGCTTTCTCAGCCTCCCTCCCTTTCTTTTCCCCTCCTTCCCCCCCCCCCTTTCTTTCTTTTTTTTTTTTTTTTTTTTTTTTTTTTTTTTTTTAGTTTTCATGACAGGGTTTCTCTGTGTAATAGTCCTGACTGTCCTGGAATTCTCTTTGTAGACCAGACTGGTCTCTAACTCAGTAAGTTCCCCCTGCCTCTGCCAATCAAGTGCTGGAATTAAAGGTGTGTGCCACAAATCCCTGGCTTTTTTTTTTTAACATTTATTATTATTATTATTATTATTATTATTATTATTATTATTATTATTATTATTAGGTGTTCAGCCTGCTTTCTTATAGAACCCAGGAACACCAGTGTAAGGTAGCCCCACTCTCAATGGTCTGGGCCTTCCCTCCTCAATCATTAATTAAGAAAAAGCCAGACAGACTTGTCAACAGCCCTATTTTATCGATGTATTTTCTCAGTGAAAGCTCTTTCCTGTCCAGTGACTCTGTGACAGGTTGACATAAACTAGCATCACAGTATATAGATATACAGATACAGTGTATCACTAGTATATAGCTGGTCTGCTTTCTGGAAATTGAGCAGATCTTTAGTCAGTTCTTGGGATGAATCTGAAAGTAATCAAGAAGCACAAGAGAGGCACAGTACATTAAAATGCAGTGTGCTGTATACAGTGAACTCCAGTGATTCAACCCCACATCTTTTCCATTCCGTCTTAGTGTTATTGCTTTACTCAAACAGCTTATAGTGCAAATGCATACACTTCTTTTGACCTGTAATCTGTCAGCTTGACAGGTAGACGTTGTCAGGTAACTCTTGAAAACACAACTTTTTCCTTTCTTAACATTTCCTTTAGATTGCCTACACCCTGTACTGTTTGAAAGTTTTCTGTTATAGACTGACATTCTGACTTGGATTTCTTTGCATTTGCTAATATTCTAGGTAAGCGTTTTCCATACCACCTTTAGAGCTGTGGGTAGTGGCTGAAGTAGCAGAAAGAAGAGCAGGTGATAGTGGGCACTTGCTCTCTGTGAAGATTAGTTGAGTTACTTTTTAGATATGAACTCATTGTTAACAATAACCTGCTGAGGTGCCGGGCAGTGGTAGGGCACACACCTTTAATCCCAGTACTCAGGAGGCAGAGGCAGGCGGATCTCTGAGTTCGAGGTCAGCCTGGTCTCCAGAGTGAGTGCCAGGATAGGCTCCAAAGCTAACAGAGAAACCCTGTCTCGTGAAGTAAAAACTTTTTTTTATTTTATTTTTTATGATAGGCTGGGTGGTGTTGGTACACACCTTTTTTTTTTCTTTTTTTTAAGATTTATTTATTTATTATGTATACAACATTCTGCTTCCTTGTATATCTGCACACCAGAAGAGGGCACCAGATCTCATAACGGATGGTTGTGAGCCACCATGTGGTTGCTGGGAATTGAACTCAGGACTTCTGGAAGAGCAGCCAGTGCTCTTAACCTCTGAGCCATCTCTCCAGCCCTGAAGTAAGAACTCTTAGTGCTTCATTGCTGAGGAAGTCAATGCATAGAGTGGTTAAATAATGTGCTCAAGAGCAGAGATTTGAGGAATCCAGGCATGTGGTCTCCGAGAATGTGCCTCTATCCTCTGTGCTCTTGTTTAGAGCAACATCTGGTCACAGGTACACAGGCAGAAATCTCTAACACTTACTTTTAGAAAGCATTGAAGCTGGATGTGCCAGCTTGTGAGCCTGCAGTCCCAGTATTGGGAGGCTGGCTGTGAGTTCCAGGCCAGGCAGGACTGTAGAGTATGATACTCAATAAAAAAAGGAAACAATTGTTGAATGTCTGTTTCTACCTGTCTCTGTCTCTCTCTGTCTCTCTCTGTCTCTCTCTGTCTTTTGGTTTTTCGAGGCAGGGTTTCTCTGTGGCTTTGGAGCCTGTCCTGGAACTAGCTCTTGTAGACCAGGCTGGTCTGGAACTCACAGAGATCCTCCTGTCTCTGCCTCCCGAGTGCTGGGATTAAAGGCGTGTGCCACCAACGCCCGGCTTTTCTACCTGTCTCTTAAAGTCTGTTTAGCTTTCAGGTTCCATTAGCCATCCAGGCTCTCCCTTTTCCAAGCAAACCCCAGTAGTAAGTTTGATATTATCTTTCAGAACAGTGCTGTGTGGTAAATTCTGCCATGGCCAAGATGTTTGAAACCTGTTCTCTTCAGTATAGCAGTCAGTAATCATCAAAGTGGTGGCTTCCTGTTTTTTTGTGTCTGAGATTGGGTCTTGCCCCATAACCATGGTTTCATTGAGTTTGTGATCTTCCTGGGTAGCCCTCTGGAGTGCTGGGATTGCAGGTGTGTATTGGCATATGTGACACTTTGGAAATAGAACTATCCCGAAATTTATAATTAAATAGGAACATGTAATTTTAGAATTTTCATCATCCAGGGTGATGTCTTTAGCACGCTCAGAAAACTGATCCATTCAGTGTGTTCAAAGTGCATCTTTATCCTATGGATGGGGTAACATCAGTAGCTTTACCATACCATTGTGTAAGACCAAAAACTAATTTATAATTTTACAGTGATAATGTGTATATTGACATGTTTAATGTATTATTTTCTCACAGGGTCTCATGTAGCTCAGGCTGGCCTTGAACCTACTAGATAGCTGAGGATGGCTTCAAACTCTAGTGATCTTTCTGTATCTACTGAGGATTACAGGCATGCCTCTGACTCATGAGTGTTGGGATTAAAGGCATATGCCTACCACCAATAGACATCTAGCTATACAGGGTTCTTCTGTGTAGCTTTGGAACCTGTCCTGGAGTTCTGTAGACCAGGCTGGCCTAGAGCTCACATAGATCTGCCTGCCTGTGCCTCCTAAGTACCTGTATTAAAGGTGTGGGCCACCAATGCCTGTGCCTAAGTATACTCTTATAGAAAGATTTGTTAGATGCTAATTTATAAACTAGTTTAATTCAGAAGAGCCTGCAGACTT